AAATCTAAAATATGAAAAAGCAATGTAAATAGCAAATTTTGATATAACAATATGATTTCCTCCTAAAAATGGATAACTTCTCAAATAAACAAGGAAGAAAAGTTTAAGAATTAAAAATAGGATTCATTCTAAAAGAGTAAAAAAATTAACAATTACTAATTCTGATAAAGCTGGGGGTGGAGGAGGCGGGTAGAGTGGAACCACAGAATCCTATACAGTTGGAAAGGAACTCAAAGGTTATCTAGTTCAACTTTCACCTAAAACACGAATTTTTTTACAAATCAATCCTGATTTTCAAAACGTCTACTGTGTCCATGTAAAAAAGAATGTAACAGTGGGATTATCTGTTTGCTATTGTCACTGGGCTAAATGAAATAGAAAACTTTGCTTTAAAGCCAAAATCTCTTGAGGATTGTTAGTGACAACATATAATTTTTTAAAGGAATTTTCTCTTTGAACTGCCCAACATTTTTAGGTCAGTTTGCAATTGCCTTAAAACTTTTCTCTTAAAAAAAAACTAAATAAACAAACAAACAAACAAATAAGCAAACTCTCCGAAAAATGTTGTTTTATTTAGAAGTGAATAGGCTGTCAGTTGATCAATATCCATTTGGTAGTAAATTCAGAAGTCCATAGCCTCCTTTAAGTGGATGAACAAACAGGTACAGACCCTGGGAGTTTATTGTTTTGTTTTATAACTATTTTTTAATCCAAATGATATTTTCAGATGCCAAAAGGCATTTCAAACTACTCACCCTTACTTCAGTAAAAAAGAAAAAAGTGATCTCATGAGACCTCGTATGGCAAGTTTTAGCCCAGAGCTAATTTTCATAGCTGTGTTATAAAACTCTGAAAATAAGGGCCTATAATGGAAATGCTGACAGACCCTTAACTATAGCAGCATGAATGGCTATAATTAAAGAACAGCTTTTGGCTGCACCTAACTCCTTAAATGAAAGATTGCTATTTCTACAATAACCTCAAATAAAAGCAAGTGGAAAACCAGAAATGTGATTCCAGAAAGGTAATGTGATATGTTAAAGAGGATTGCTAAAACTATTTGACATTCTAAGCTTTAAATACTGAAGCATTTAGTTAACATAACCAAGTCAGTATTTTCATAATGCTACTTAATCAGCAATAAAGAATGCTCCTGTGAGCCATCATCTTGGGTTAGCAGAAAGTGGCATATAAAGTTATTATTTCTTAACAGCCTAGGGGGAGCTGCTTCTCCCTTTAATCAGTGATCTCACTTTCTTCCTACCTGTAAATTCTCTGTCATACAGTTATAAAACTATTACCCAGCACAGTATACAGAAAAAGGGGGGAAAACACATTTATGCAAGGACTGCTACCTTATTCCCACCTGGATTTTAAAACAGGAGAGATTGCTATAGTAATGTATTTCATCCTTTTCCCTAGTCAGGGATGCAGCCAGGAATAAATATCATCAATCTACGTAAGCCTATCTTCTCCGCTTATACCAAAATTCAAAGAAACTAGGTCCTGATCTGAATACAGTTTTTTTTTAATGGAGTTGCTTTAAATTTTAGTAACTAACAAAAATGTATTTAACTTGTACACAGCAATAATAAAGGACACTCAAAGGAAATAACTTAGAATGTTAGGTAATCGAGGTTTCCAGGAAGATCCCAGAGTTTGAGGCCAAAAAAATTAAACATTAATCTCAAATATAACAAGTACTGGAGGAATTTTTTTTAATCATCATCACAATAGAGAATCAGTCCTCTGTTTCCAGGATCACTCCTGAAGAGTATTTTTCTTTTTTAACCCCTTTTTGAGACTGAATGTCCCTATCTCACACAGGCTAGAAGTTCATTGGCTAATCAGGGCTTCACCATTTTGGTACTATACTCAGTGCAGACACCTGATGGGCTTAGCCTACTGTATGCATCTCAGAACTTCTGAGCTTGAGTGATCCACCAGCCTTAACCACCCCCAGTAACAAGGATTTCAATATGCACCACCATGCTTGGTACTCTGTCACTGCAATGGCTAAGTAATGCTCTTGGGAAGACAAGGTTTAGCATCCTAAATCTGGAGTTAGAAAGGAATTCACCTAACCCAACTTAAAGGTCATCTTATTCAGCCCATTCATATTACTGATGAGGAAAACAACAAGATCCACTCTGAGAGGTTAAGACTTGCCCAAGATCATACAGGTATTAAGTGGCAGAGTCTAAATCTGAATTCAATCACTGTGAATCCAGGTTCAGCATTCTTTTTACTACAATGTATTGTTTTACTCACTAGTGCTTAAAACAAAGTTGATCAAATCACATCTTGTCTAGCATGTTTGCTGTAAATAATCTAGCTTTTAAAGAACTGAATATTCCAAACATAATGGGTAAGATTTAGGGAAAATCCAACAGTAAGACATAAAGCTATGAAGATCAACACGGTGTCATTGCATTTTTTTTCACACTTTATATTCATCATTACGTCCACTGAAGATAAAATTGTCTAGCAACTTTGGCAATGAAAATGTAAATGGCCAGGTGTTCCTTTCAAGTAAAATCTCCACCCACCCCCTCATAAGCAAGAAGCAATTAAAAAAAGGGGGAAAAGCTAATAAAATTATATCAAAACACTCATTTTTTAATGTCTAGATGGGCAGTGCACATTAATTCCACACTCTATATGCAACAAAGCCCTCCAGTTAAACGAGACTCTTAAATACACATATAAACGTATTTCAAGTATTCTTCACTGTCCCATCCCCACCAATTGCTACAACCCTACTCAGAACAGTGGCACAGATCAATAAGTCTCATAAACTTGCAACAGATTGACAAATCAAGATACTTTTCCAGCCTTCCTGAAGTAGTGCTAGCTTTAGTGGTAAAGGTCTTTTCATAAAGTGAATTAACAAGCAGCTATGTTTATTGGCAGAAGTACAATTTAGATGTTAGAAATGATGATAAAAAATCAAAACTAAAATGATTATTACAAATAAAATTTAATTTACTCTTCTCTACCCATTCTTCTTTGTGTGATGCATTTTTACCTATCAACTGATGACCCTAAGTTAAAACTGACAAACAAAATCTCAAAGTTTAAGGATCTATACATTGCACAAAGAAGGTAAGAGAAAGCACATAGGTAGAAAGAGATATCATTACAAATAGTTTCTTGCCAAAATCTAGACTTTACTAACTTTATTATTTAAATACCTCCTGGGAAAAAGAATTTTTAAAAAAAATTCAGTGGTTCTTTGCTAAATACATTAATCATTCTGTGATCATTCATAAAGGAAGACAATAAGCAAGAATACCACTAGGTGTAGCCAAAAATCAATCAGTATATTTTTATTTCTACTGGCTTGAGAAGAAACCAGGAAGAGGAAGAGAAATATATTGGAGAATTGGGAAAGAAGGACAAGTTTCTCAGGCTAGTTTCACACCTCCACTTCTTCCCCCAGATGCTAGTGCTACCCACCCCAAAAAATTTTTTTTAAATTTATTTTGTACACACATTGATTGAGGCAGTTACCAAATCCTGTATTTCCCTGGCTATATCAAAGAAATCATGGGTCTAGTCCCTATATCTATCTTATATTTTATACTACATATATAATATATATTTACATATTTATATGTTTTATTATATATTTTAATATTATATACTTATATTTGTGCATATTGTTTCACCCAATAAAACGTCATGTCCTTGAAAGGAGATACTGTTTCATTTTTGTATTTATATTCTGAGTTGTCTGGTTCACAGTAGGCACACATTTGCCCTTTACAAATATATTCTTAGGATCATAAATAATAGGATTTTAGTGCTAAGAGAAACCTTGGGGATCTCAGGTCCAACCTCCTAATTTTACAGAAAAGGAAACCAAGATTCAGAGGATAAAGTAGCTTATTGAGACCACACAGCTAGGCTGCTCTGGATCAGAACCAAACCTTTTGACTTCTAGACCAGGGCCTCTTCCATTGCACCATGCTTCCTCCTGTAAAGTCTTTTCTGTATTTTAAAATACCTTTCACTCCCCACCTCCCTTCCCCAAATCCTCCTCCTTTAACATTTTAAAGTAAGCATAATAGCTTCAGTGCTATTTTCAACCTCTACCATGACTGTATTACTGCTAAGATTAACTGTGTTTAGAAGATGTGACATCCTCTGTCTGTTAGGAAAGCTATAAGACACCCCAGCCACATGTCTTTGGAAAAAGAACTAATTCTGAAAGCATATGGTTTTTAGGAATGGCTTTTTAAAGCATTTTTAATTTCTGAGGAAATGGAAAGGGATAATCAATGCTCTCCTTTTATAGTTCCCCCCTCTAAACATGTGTTCATGGCAGTGTTTAGAGGCTGACCCAACATGATTACTGTTACTTTCCTTAAATACTTAGCTGACTACCTAAGTGCAAAGACGGGATTCTAGAGAATAACTACTTCATCTAGACTATCCCATGCACCTAGAACATAACTCTCCCCCCTAAATGTTGGATAATATGGCATATTAACTAGGAAAACCTTGAGTAATCTCCTGTTTTGGTCATCTTACCATATAAGAGATAAAATCCCATGTACATTTTATGACAAAAAACAAATCTCCAAGTGGCAACATGGCATAGAGAATACAAAGCCAGGCTTGGAGTCAGGAAGACCAAGGTTCATAACTGCCTCTGACACATACTAGCTGTATAGCCATGGACAAGTCTAGGCAATATTGTGATGTAGGCAATTTTGTAGCACTTCAAATTGAAGAGAAAGGTGATATCTGCTACCCAAACCAACAGAAATCACTGGTCTAGGAGCAGCTATGTGGCACAGTGGATAGAGCACTGGCCCTCAAATCAGGAGGACCCGAATTCAAATCCAACCTCAGACACTTGACATTTACTAGCTGTGTGACCCTGGGCAAGTCATTTAACCCTGATTGGCTCACCTCCCCCTGTCCCCTAAAATCACTAGTCTAAAGAAAAAAAACTCAAGATATCAATATTTGCATTTTACTGAAAAACATACCTGACTCTGGCCAGAACAGCTTGTAGAAAGTTTAATACAGTCCTGAGCTGAGCTTCTCGACAAGCTGGAAGAAGCATACTGAATCCGTCATTCAACAATATTTCCTCAGAAAGTTTCAAGTTCCGGCTTATTTCAAACACTTCTTGAACACCATCCATATAGATAGAAAGAAGTGTCCACAGCACATGTTTCTGTCCCGACTCATTCTTAGATACTAAGAATTCCTTTGCTTTTTCACTAAAAGCACCAGAAAGTGTCTGGGCCAAAACACCAACATCCAGGTTTCTCTGAACATACATTAAGAGAAAAGCCATTTGGCCCTTCCAAACAAGCGCCCTCTGTGAAGGCGTGATAGACCCAGGTCTGAGGAAGTCCAAAAGATCCAGAACACGACTGACCACATCTTCCAACTTTGCAACAGTAGCCAATACCAGAAAAAGTTTAAAAAAATTCTGAAGACCAACTTCAGTTAGCTCTTCCATTCTTTTTTGATGGAATTTGGAATATATTCTGTAAAATAAAGACAGTATTATAATAGAGCTTATTGTTTTATTCATGGAAACACATTTCTCTACAACTTTCCCACCTACCAAGCTTAGAGGAGGTCATCACCCATAGGGAAAAATTCAAACCTGAATTTCCAAATAAGAGTTTTCTATCTTCCTTCTTGCCAGGTTTTTCTTAGTGCCAGAAAGAAGGGTCACTACTTCTTAAGAGGACAAAGTCACAGAATACCCTACCAACCTAGCAGAGAGCCTGTAAGTGATGCAGCAAATCACCTGTGACTGTATGAAAGGATTTGGTAGATTTTCCCCTAAAAAATGATACAAATGTGCACTCTATAGATTATAATTTTTAATCTTTTACTATAGTCACCCATCACATTTACTTATTTTTTTCTATTTTTATTGGCAAAAAAAAGACCAATATACACTCAATTATAAATTGATGAGGTTCATTCCAATATGAACCATACAACTTAAAATAATTTATAATAATAATAATTTATAATCCATTTGGTTATCCTCTTTCTTACATTCTCTTAGGCTTACTTTGTATGTTCAGTAAAACCTAATAATTGTAAGAAAGAAATTCATTTTTTGCCTGGTAACAAAAATACCAGCAAAACCAGTGAAGTGTCATTTAATAGCCAACTACTACAGCTAAATATATATGTTCTCCTTGAATCAATGTCTTGTTTACTGCTGAAAAAGAATTCACCCTCGCATTCTAGTTACAGGCTATTAACACTTAGTAAACTGTATAACTGCTTTATTTTAGGTAGGAATGATTCATACTAATACACAAATACTGGAGAAGGAAATGGCAAACCACTCCAGTTATCTTTGCCGAGAAAATTCCATTCCTAGTAAGGTGTACAGCCAAGACCTAAAGGCCAGGTCCTCTGACTTCAAGTCCAAAATTTCTTTCATTATGTCATATTTCCTCTTTGGATCAAGAGGCAATAAGATTGGCCTCTTCTACCACTCAGAGAAGCACAAATACTAGGGTTGTAAAATCTATCTAGCAGTCCGTGTCTCCACCCAAAATATGAACGTTAATAATAGAATCTGGGATATAACCTAACTATCCTGATCTGCAGGGCATGTTCAGCCAGGGTCAAAAGACAAGGCATTATTTCTAGTCTCTCACAATATTGGGGTTCTTTCATTTAATCCATTATCTAATACTTGAAAGAAGAAAGAGCTCTCCCCTCCTCTCCTCTCCCTTACCTGAGGGTGTTCTGCCCAAAGGAAGGTAAATTTTGATGGCCGAAAGCTGACTAGTTAACTTGGGGTTTACCGCCTAGATTTCTTTCTCAAAGACCAATTAAACCCAATTATCTCTTAAACCCAATTCACTCTGGATCTCATGGACTGGTCAATTGGTCCCTGCCCTGCCCAAGCACCATTAATGATTATTTTTTGGGCCCTACTGGCTCAGAGCAAATGCTCTGACCAGCAAACTTGAGGGTCTTCCCCTCCCAGTTTGATATTTTTTTTTTTTTATTAAAGGGGGCATCCCTTGACTCACTTCTTAAAGAGCCTATTCACTGAATGGGCCTTGCTTCGCTCAAAGTGAGAACCTAAAAAGACCTTAGCTTAAAAGGGCCAAGGTCTTCCACTGCATCCTGGTCCATCTCCAGTTGTCCTGATGGATATCTGGCCACTGCACTCATATGACTCTGGAGGAGAAAGTGAGGCTGGTGATTTTGCACAGCTCTCCCTCACTCAAATCAAAGTCAATTCATCATCTCCCTGATGTCATGGTCCTCTTCGAGAACAAAGGACAAAATCACAACCTAATACTTCAACATTTTAAGGATGCTTTTTTTTTTGGTTTAACACACTTGTACATAATCATATTTTATCTAACTACTTGCATGAAGAATATGCTGAAATTAATAAAAGTTCTTCAGAAATCCTGGGAATTTTAGTCCCAACAGGACCAACAGAAGAAGAAGCTATGAAATTCCATACCAGTGAGTCTGAAGATTACATATGCTGAATTTGTTCCCTGATTTATCAATTCAGTAAACTTTTAATTAGAAAACATCAGAAAATGTATACAATATATAAATAAACTGCTTTCTACCTCCTACATGATGTTTTTTCTTATCCCCACCAACTTCCACTGCCTCCTCTACCAAATCACTTTGCTTACTTTGTATGTATTTATATGGTTTTATGTCTCCTCTCACAGATTCTAAGCTCCAGGAAGGCAGGAAATGATTCAATTTTGTGTTTGCATCCCCAGTATTGAGCACAGAGCACTTAATAGGAAATTTTAAAAAATCCTTGTTGATAGGTTAACTTGAAAAATATTAAAGTTGCAGTATTTCCATAAGAACATTTTTCTGGACATTCTTTTTTCAGAAGGAAAAAGGGTACATACCTTCCTTTGATTTGGTTCCAAGGATGAGTTTCATTAGTTGCTACAGCTTTTTTCATGACTTTTGCCAAAACACAAAGAAAAATGTTGTAACTACTGTTGGATTTATAGAGGTCATGGCTCTGCTCATCAGAACAACAGGTCTTCACTATTTCAAGCATAGACAAGGTTGATTTAGAAACATTTGCAAACTCTTGTAAACCAAGCCAAGGAATAATAAAAGAACTGTTCTAGAAGGGGGAAAAAAAGTATTATATCTCCTGATAAAAACTTCAAACTGTAAAACACACTAAGGTTTATGAAGAATAAGAGACTGACCCCATGTTTCAACAATAACAAAATATAATGAAATGTCCAATACACTCAGAGATGCAATGTAAATAGTGGTCACCATGTTAAAAACTTGCTCAGACCAAGGGGAAATAAATCTCAATCTCTTCTAGACCATGCCAAATAACCTTCCTGCCTCCTCTGTTCCCCATCTAAGGCCACAGGATCTACGACCACGCATACCTTATAAAATAACCTTGGAAGTAAAATATAACAGCAAAAGCACCAACAAGTAGAATGCCTAGAGCAAACTTTTTAGGGTTATAAGCTAGAGAGAAAAACATTTCTCCATATCTATCAGATTTATCTGGACTGAAAAGTATTAGTAGCAGATGTAAAACGTGTATGAATCTTATGCTGGTGAAAAGGTGCTTCCTTTGGTTAGACCTAATTCCACTGATAAAAAGAATAAATTTTTTCCCTTTTGGAAAAAAAAAGTTTAAATGGTTTTTGTGATTAGCAAACTATTCCCAGAAAGCTTCCATCTATGTTTAACAAATACTAACATTTTTAATATTCTACAACAGTTATTCAGCGCACAAAAAAATATGCATAGATCCCTCAATTGGGAAGACCAAAGTCTTAGCACTATTTACTCACAAGATTTTTGCTGTAGTAGTCCCACAGAATTGTAACAGCCTGAATATTGGGGTTCCAGAAACCACACAGTGTCAAGCAACAGTGAAGATACATGCGCACCTGTTCTTCTAATATACCATCCTAATAAAACAGAAACATTCAATTACATGCAAGCCATGCTTTCGAACACTAACATATACTGTCACTTCAAGTACAAAGGTTGCCATGCCATGGAATAATTTTCTCTATAAACCTCATTACTGGTTATCTCCTTTTCATCAACAAAAAGCCACTAAGGTGGAGTGGCAAGCTAGGAAATAGGGTCTGACCACAAAGACACTGTCATTTGACAATGCACGGCAACTCCAGAGACAAATGCTTGAAGAAAATATAAAAAACAGACTCAAAGAAACTTAATTATATTCATTTCATCTTCTGCCAATACGGTGTCAATAAGGCCAAAGCATGTTTCTAAATATTAGTTCAGAAGCTATTAACTAATCACCAATATATGGAGTATAGAAGAATTAGAATTTCCATTCAAGTATTTTAAATGAGCCTATGTGTGGTGACAGATAAAGAAACAAGACTAGTCTATCTACAGGAAAGAACACCAACAAAACACACGGAAGTACTTAATGCCTCTTGACTTAATGAAACAAGGTGGAATAAAAGAAGATGTAACGTGTAACCTAGATATATTCAAATCCACAGGTCTTGATTAAGCTTAATAACAACTAATAATAATAGACTTATATAGCACTTTAAGGTTCACAAAGCCTCTACCTACATTATCTCATTTGATAATCAGCTTAAGGAATTTACTAAACTCATTGCAGGGCAACAGCTACTCAATTTTTAAAACAAAAAGGGTGGTTGATGTGCACAGATATGAAGGACTGGCTATCCATATTTAACTAAGTAAAGGTGCATGTGCAGCTAGGTGGCACAGTAGATAGAACTCTGGCCTTGGAGTCAGGAGGACCTAAATTCAAGTCAGGCCTCAGACACATGACACTTACTAGCTGTGTGACCCTGGGCAAGTCATTTAACACCAACTGCCTCATCAAAAAGAAAAAAAAAAGGGAGGGGAGGTAAAAAATTAGCATGTAAACTTCACTCCATTGTCTAAGAGGGGAAAAAAACCCACAAAATCAAAAATCACTCCACGGAAATATCTTAAAGCAAAGAGGTCAGAAGATAAAGATCAATACATTATTTAAGGTAAGTTCCTTCACATCAATCTACTTATGCAATTAAATGAATGGCCAACAAGTTAAGAAGCAATATACATATGCTCTTTTGAATTTAAGAGGAGTTTAATTGTTTTGCCCAACATATTCATCAATAAATTGAGAAATACAGCAAGATCACACAACAAATTTTTTACAGATTTTTAAATACAGGCATTGCCCAAATTACAAATACCTAACCTACAAATCTCTCATGTACATATATGCCCTCTAAACAAGGTTTCTGCATTTCCACATGGGCATCTGCTTACCTACTGTTCTTACAAACCTATTTTGCAGTTATAATTAGAATGAGGAAGAAAGGTATTTCTGTACAGCTTCTTTAGTTCTGATGAATTCTTTTCTACACTATTTTAAGATTGATCTGAGGGGCGGCTAGGTGGCGCAGTGGATAGAGCACTGGCCCTGGAGTCAGGAGGACCTGAGTTCAAATCTGAACATAGACACATAACACTCACTAGCTGTGTGACTCTGGGAAAGTCACTAAACCCCAACTACCTCATATTTAAAAAAAATATTGATCTGAGATCTGTTTAGCCCTCCTTTACAGAATATTAATCCTTTGTACCCGAAGGCAGCATTGACATAGTATAGAGAAGGCTTAACTGGCACACCTGGGTTCAGATCCTGTCTCTGATACCTGCTATTTGTACAACCGCGGAACAGTCCCTTTCTCTCAGAGCCTCAGTCTCCTCACCTGTAAGAAGAGATGGAAATTCCTCTCGCTCCTATCTCACTCCTATCTGAGTGGTAGAAGAGACCAATCTTATCACTGCCTCTTGATCCAAAGAGGAAATATGACATGATGAAAGAAATTTTGGACTTGGAAGTCAGAGGACCTGGCTTTTAGGTCTTGGCTATACACATTACTAGGAATGGAATTTTCTTAGCAAAGATAACTGGAGTTCCTAAAGTCAAGTCATTCAGTCAAGGAGTATTTAATTAAATTCCTACTCTATGCGAGGCATTATTGATAAATGCTGGGGATATGACAGGTAAACTCTCAAGAAACTCACAGTCTAATGAGAGAAATCATGAAAAGCATTTTGCAAACTTTAACATCTATATAATGCCAGTTAGCAGTATCATATACACTATTTACCATCTCTGTGCATTGGCTCATATTTTAAATAAGTGACACTGGACCCAGCTTTGAGGTCCTACATCTCAAATTCTAGTGGTTTAATTATAAAGTTAAAAGTTTCCATAAATGTACGGATGCTGAACTGGACATATTCTGTTTCAGAATAATAAATTTAGAACTGGAAGGCCATGTAAGTCCAATTTCTTACTTTCAAAGGAAGAAACTGAGGTTAAGTAACTTAACCAAGAACCATACAGAACCAAGGCTGGCAATGGAACCAAAGTCCTCCAGTTATGAATTCAGTATTCTTTCCACTCACTGCCTCCACAATATCTTCTACACTCACAAACTGATCAGATTCTAAAAGGTATCACCAGAGCTTGGTATCATAGAAAGAGTACTTTCTCTAGAGTCAGAGAACCTGAATTCCAATCCTTCTTCTGACACATATTACTGGTGTATATTAGCTATTATTGTTTTTACTGAAAAGGTTTAAGGACACTTCTCCCTAATATTAAAAATAGGAGTAGTACTCATTCATCATGGCATGTTCCTTTCTTCAGGCAAAAGGATGGGTAGATGACCCCTTCTGAAGGTTCTTGCAGGTTGTCTATAAGATATGTTATTTTGTCTTAGTAAACTTAAGGAAAGAAAAGAAAAATCAAAACAATAAATAAAAGAAACTCTGAAATTCTTCCTTGTAAAAAATAAAAATAATGCTATTTTAAGGTTGAATAAACAATCTAATTCTCTTTTCCTCGCAGCATTCTCAATACAGTCAGCTAATTTAAAAGGACAGTTTAGTTTTAAGATATTTTTTCACAAAGTTTAAAAAGAAAAAGAAAAAATCTTTTTCATCTTTACTTTGATCAGCAGAGTCCAACGATACCCAGCATATCAGTGATCGTCAGTAAAGCTTAGTGCCTCTGTCTTCGGTTTGAAAAAGAATGATTTGAAAAATATTGTTTGCTTAATTAATACTGCTTTCAAGATTCTATCAACTTTATCTTAAGACTATTGTACATTTTGAGGTATTTTTTAAGACTATAAATGGACTGTTTCACTGCTGGAGATCAAGTCAGAACATGAGGGCGGTCAGATTTTAATTTATCTCAGTGGGGAGAAAAACAGATATAATCAAAATGATACTTCTATCTAAACATATTATTTATTCTTTACGACCACCTACTGAACCCACAAAATTGGCTTCAAGAACACCAGCAAGTAGTTCTATATAACTTATGGAATATGATTTGACACAATGCAAGGCATGATGAAATTGAGATAGTATTGGAGAGAGGGGCTTAATCTTCCTAAATATTAGGAAATGGAAGATAATTACACAGTTTGAATGAGTAAAAAATCTTGCTTTGTGCTGGCTCTAGTTTCATAAAGAAATATTTACGGTACAGGCTATCCTAAAAAAAAATCTAACTTATCCTTATGTCCATATATAGAAATTACACAGTGTGCTACAGAACCAGCTCTAACTCTCATCCTTATAAAAAAATATAGTATTATAAAAGTTAAATCCAGCAGTGTCAATAAAAGCTTTATTATATTACTAGACATTCCAACTGAGGAAAATCTTTTTTCATGGTCGATATAGTCCCTTTCCTTGAGGGGGGAGAAGGGAAATAACACTTAGGTAGTCATAACCTAAAGGAAAATAATAATAATAAATCACTAAAAGACTGATAGAAAGTGATTTACAATCTTAGTAAAAATAATACTATTGCTATAAGGCAGAGATGATTATGTACTGTTTTTCCTGCTGTCACATATAATATATTTAGATTTTTGCTCCTCACCATGACTTATCTGTTTCAAAATTTTTACAGAAATACTCAGAAACCTATCCATCTTCCTATAGTACTTAAAGGACCAAAACAAAGAATCTAAGCAGTCCTTATCTACTGTCCCTATACCTCCCAACAAAGTAGTGATAAAATCCAGTCTTTCTGAAAAGAATTAAATAAAAAAAAATATTTTCTTTGGTTTTAACTGAAAGCCTTTCCATTTAAAAAAAAAAAACTAAACTAAAAAATACCACAAAAAGAAGATCCCTTGAGCCAATATCAGGTAAATGTGCTCAGCAGTTTATATAAATGACATAATGATCATATGTCAATAATTCCCAAATGTCTTAAAACAAAAGCTTAAAACTAGATTAGGATAAGGATAAGGAGAGTTTTAAATGTTCAGAATCAAGATGTTATCAATCAAAAAAAAAGAACTTTTCAGGGGAGGAGAGGGGGGGAGGCTATGACAGTATACATATAATAAAATATGGGCAGTACTTTAAAAACAAAACAAAACAAAAACCCTTGTCCCAAACCAGTGACAAAACTTTCAGGAAAACTATAAAAAGGTAACATCACTTTCATTCCAAGTAGAAAGTTCTTTGACATTCCATCTAAGGAAAAATTATGAGCTTTCACCTACATAATTAATAGATCTGTGTTATAACTAAATACATATATATTCATCTGGAAAAACATTAATTTTCAAAAGAATTTACATATACAATCCAAGAGGGGTCTCAAAAGTCTTGAAATAAGCTATTAAATTGAGTGAGTTTCACAGACTTGGTTTTCAATACACTAGTTGAAAACAGTCTATTAACTACCACACTTCTGCTTTATTTCTCTTGGAAATTTTTAAAGTCTTATTTCTTAGTGGCTAAATAATTTCTTTCCCAAATGAAAACCAACAATTGTTTCCGTAATTTTCTCAAAGGTATTACACAAAAGGCAATTTATACCATGAAAATTCAGAACAAATTTACAGAGCTACAATGCAACATGCTTAAAAATGTGATGAACAGCATATTTAAAACCACTTTAAAAGGAGGTCAAGTCTGACCTCTGGGCCATGAAGCACTGCATTAACAGCTCTGCAGAAAGAAAAATGATAAGGTATGAAATGAGTGCTCAGAAAGTAGAACCTTATCAGTAAGAGTATGATTCAAGCCTGTAAGACAAATTGCTCAGCAAGGCAAGTCACCTTCCTGCTGTGATGAGGATATAGCTGAATTTTCAATGCCACTATCTTCGCCCATCATGTCTCCTAGACTTGATATCCACACATTCAATATATGGCTTACAGTTTCTAAGCATCTAGCCCTTATTTTGAATATATCTTGTCAAAATAGCCAACTGGGATAATTATCTTTATCCTTTATCTGACAACTTAGTGTCAAGAAAAAAAATCTTTAAAGGGTAGTTACTAATCTCATAAGCACTGGCTTCACTTTGGCAAACAAACAAATAAACAAAAAACCCCAAGAACATCTGTATGCCTCAATTACAGTAACCAAAGGTTGGCTTTGTTTTGTGTTTTCTTCTACAGGTATTCTACGTGATGTCCAAAAATTTAACATGCCAATATTTTTTACTGCTACTTAATATACACACCTGGACATTAGTTGACTTTTTCAGTAATTCTTCTACAAAGCTCCAGTTTGAATTCATTTGTTTCTAGAAGGAGAAAAAAACATTTTTGAATCAAAGAAATCACCACTTCCAATAGCACATATTTTAAAAACTAGGACAGGGAAAGTAAATGACTATTTTTTAAAAGATTTCTATCACCACAGAACTTGATGCAATGTCAATGGGAGACACATTGTTATGTGTATCTGATTATTCTCCCCCATCATGTTATATTTGTGGATGACTGAATTGGAGGGGAAAAAGATTATTAACTACTTCAGTCTTTACACTAAAACAAAATTATAACCCTCACCAAATAAGGATTTATTTATTTATTATTATTTAACCTTCGTAATAACACAGAATTTTGGGGAAACATTTTGATCTTTGATAATGTTAAATTCTAATGTGTACATAAAACTTCCAATAGTTAACTATACAATTACATTGTACAGACCATGACTGAAATATTGTTCTCCCAAAATGATTTTCATTTTTCCAGAAACAATTGGATCTTTTCACACTTGCATAAAAACAACAACAAAAATAACTTCATGATTGAGTTGCATTGTTCACTATTCTAAACATACTTACAAGAAACTGCAGTGAAACAATCAAAAGAAGTTTATTTCATCTAGTACATGTCACACCTCAAGACACCTCAGTTCACAAAGGATGGCTTTTAATATTGATTATTTAAAACTGAATGTTGTTATGGACTGTTATTAAAGAAGGAAGAGACAGACTTAGGACACAACCATGATGAAGATGTAATATACAAATTTAATGTCTCCATCTTCACCTCTTCAAGGTGAAAAGAATGGAAATTTACTAAAACAGAAGACAAAGAAGGCAAGGAACAATTTTGTTCTTTGCTTTCACTGAAACACCAAAATCCAATGAGGCATTGAACCAATGATAATTTCAGCCATTATTTGCTTATGATAGAGACTAGGTAGACTACACATAACAACCTGGCTATAAATTGGACAAAGGTGTCCTTTTATGAGCAATATTTGTTTCATTTTAATGTGACTGTCTGTGATAGGATCTGAAATATGAAACATCTGTATGAATATACTACTGTATTCATTCTTGTATTTTTAAACATATTACAATAATATAATTCAGTTGTTTCTTAATGACTTAAGGTTACTGATATAAACATGAATTACCATACTACACTATACACTCAGGGTGTATAGAGGTAAGCCAGACCATTGTTCTTTTTGAGTTCATCTATGCTTTCTATAGTTTTTCTTTCTCCTCTCTTACTGTCAGAAGCCTTTTTGTTGCTTCTTCCAAAGCTCTGCTGCCTTCTGAACTGCTGCTACTGGTCTACTGTGGGCTGAGAAACCAGACAGTCAAGATTATTAAAACTGTGCCTGAAATAAGAATAAATATTCTGAGTAAGAAGATGAAGGACTCTCCTCTCAGTAAAGTGTGCTACACTGCATGAACATTGTGAAATATATTTAACTGCTCATAGCTCTTTTTTTTTCTTTTTTTAACTATGCATGCTTACTTCTTCATTTTCAGTTATACTCTGGAAAGCTGAGACTGCCATATCACTTTTTCGGAAGGACAAAGTAGGACTTCTCTGACCAACTCAAACTAAAGAAATATTACACAGAAATCAATATTCTGCAGTGACAGAAGAAGGAGCAGAAATCATACACTGGACATGGAAGTGCCTATGTTCATTTAGATGGCTGATTTAAGTTAATTATTACATTTTTTATACATTTCACATAAACCTTTAGCAGGCAATACTCTGTGGCTAAATTTGAGTCTTCATTTTAGAATGAAGAAATATTAATTTCTGGAAAATTCATTTGTACATCTGAAATAATAAAAGTCCTAGAAGTTATCAAACAATAAAAATTTTAACAACATATCTTTCACTGATAACTGTTTTTCTTTTTAAATCAACATTTTTTACAAGGAAAAAAAAACAAATGGCAATTGCATAGGGTAACTAACAATGTGGATGATATAGTTCATAGTTTAATTTGAGTAGAATTTGTAGACCAGGAACTGACCCTCAGTTAAATGCTTGTATTCCATTTGTACAGTATTTACCGATAAAATTTCTAATGCCTCCCCCAAGCTGCATTATTCCACTAATTATAACTCTGCAGATACAATACAAACATCTTGTCTAGTAAAAACAGACAGATGATGTATAGAAGCTAAAATTCAAAACAGCTAAGCACCATCTTAATCCCAAGGAACTAGCACCTGGGTCATTGCAAAACACAGTATGTATAAAGGACGGAAACAACATCAGTTGTAAATTCCCTTTTTTAAGGGTTGGGAGTTAGGGGGCAGTTTTAACTCAGTTTTCTGTAGCAACAGTATTTGTTCTACATGTAAAATTATAACTAACTGGCCTCCAAGTGGTATAAAATTATTATGGAACCACCCACTTGGAGCGATGTTTTGTACTTCCAAGGCTGCTATAAAAATTACAACTGCGAAACACACTTGAGGTCTTGCATAAGCTGCATCTCTATCAGGAAAATAAAATGGATCTTCCCTTGCCCTCCATTTCTAGTCTATATGGGAGAATAGCTCTACTCTCTATTTGGGGTTACATTTTGCATCCTTTATCCAGTAGTCATTTCAGACATTTCCAAGAAGAGTATCACCTGGCCCTGAATAATTCTCTCTGTGGTCTGGACAGAGAAAGCAGCGTTAAAACTGACCCCTGCAATGTTCAAAAGTGGTGAATTTTCCTCTTTATACTCCATTTGGTTTTAAAATAGATGAGCAGGATTTTGAGAGGATAACATGCTCTAGGTCTGGGTTAAGAGAGGAGAAAAGCATTAAACAGAAACGTACGATAAATCTAAAATCTGAAGTATAAGAAATGAGACACCAAAGTTTCCTTATATTCTTATACTGAGAAATTGGCTACAGTTTTCTGGTTTAAATCCATATACAGGATATGTCCCAGTTATGGGAACTTATAAAATAAAAAATAACTAACCACAGCTGAGAACCTATTTAGAATGTAAAGATTTCACATTAACCTCTAGGGCAAAGCAGTTCACATTAAAAAATTGAAACACCTCCATGGATGAAACAAGACTAGAGGCATTTTTTCCCCCTGAAGAATATATGAATAACCATTATTACTTCATATCATCCTCCTTCCACTAGATTACTGTTTAGTAGAATAAAGAATGTTTACTGCATAATCATTTCCTTTTTATACCTGGACATGTTAAATCCATAAAAAATAGAATTTGAAGAATTTTCAAGACACTGATAACAAAATGAGCCAATTATCACCAAGAACCAAGCTAATCTCTTTGAAAGAAAGGACTAAGATATGTCTGCTTCTACTAAATACAAAAGAGAAAATTCTGTCAAATTCTGTCTGACTTCTAATGTTGTTAACCTAATATTTAGATTCAATAGCATTAAGTAATATCTTTCTCCATTAACTTTTCAAAGAATCAGAAGATCATAGATTTAGAGCTGGGAAAAGAAAATACCTAAGAGGTCATTGAGACCAATTGTCCTCATTTTACAGATGAATAAAAATGACTTTCCCAAAGTTCTGTAGGAAGTTAGAGGCAGAGAAAATACTGAGAATTTGGACCCTAGTTCAAAACCCATGTACTTTCCAAGATATTAGACTGCCTCCTTTTTCTCTGATTCATTTTATTTATCTGTCAAATGGGTACAAAAAAAATCTGCTCTATTTCCAAGGACTGCCAAGAGAGGAAAAGCCATAATTTATGTGAAAACATTTTGGAAAAGTTGAAATTAATAAACAAATACAAGCAGAATAATAATAATAGATATTAATGATAATTATTATTTTAACAATAACAATAATGATACTAAAGAAACTAAAGAACAGGGAATCTTTAGAACTAATTCAGAACTTCAGAACTCTGGACACAAAAAGGGAAAAACGTGGTGAAGAAGGTAAAGAAAAAAATAAGGTAGGAAAGAAGAAAATAATTCCACAGAAAAATAAATTCAAAAAACAATGAATTTAAGACACAAATACTTTTCACATAACAAGGGTAGGAATTTTTCAAATGAAGATATAAAAAAACTGATTTTTTTTAAGTTGAGGAAAATAGACTTTATCCTTTGATAAATACTAAAATATCATTGTTTGTTTAAAAAAAAGAAAAGAAAAGAAAAAGGATCCTCACTAAGTTTCCCTGTAAAATACAAAGAGCAAATTCAGGACCATAAAAGATTAGTGCCTAGCATCTGTTGAATCAAACTCAATTAGTCATAACACTAACAGTATTAATAATGATAAAAAAAAAACTATTATTCTCCCCAAATCCTCCACATCTGGAGGTACTACTCATTATTTAACAGCTAACTAAATAATTGGTACCCTCAACACTTAAAAGTTACTATTACTTCAAACACTGCATCAGAAGACTGCGTCTTCTATGTCTTGGGAAATCTAGGTGTAGTGGATTAAGTGCTGCACCTAGAGGCAGAACACCTGAGTTTAAATTAGGCCTCACACATTTACTAGCTGTGTGATCCTGGGAAAGTCAGTTAACCGCTCTCTCTCTGTGTCTAAGTTTCCTCATCTGTAAAATGGCAATATTAATAATAGTATCTATCTCCCAGGGTTGTTGTAAAGATCAAATGAGATAATATTTTTAAAGCACTTTGCAAACTTAAAAGCTCTATTTAATGCTAGCTACTATCATTATCATCATCATCATCATCATCATCATCATCACGATGAGAGTGCTTCGTACATTGCACACAATCAACTAGAAGCAGGGTGGTAGTGTAGTAGATAGAATGCTAGGCCTGGAGTCAGGAAGATCTGATTCTAAATTCAGCCTTAGACACTAGGCAAGTCACTTAACCTCTGTCTGCTTCAGTTTCTTCATTTGTAAAATAGGCATAATAACAGCACCTATCTTGAAGGAAGCTGTCGTGATGATCAAACAAGATATTTGTAAAGCACTTTGCAAACTTTAAAATGCTATATAAGTTCTAGCTATTGTTATAATTGTTAAATTCTAGTTAATTGACTGCTCCGTTTA